AGTGCTGTCAAACAATTAATCGCGATTAATCGCATCCAAAATAAAAGTTTTTGTTTACATAGTATATGTGTGTATAATGTGTATATTTATTATGTATATATAAATACACACCCATGCATGTATATATTTAAGAAAAATGAATGTTTATATATTAAATATATTTATATATAATATAAATTATATGAATATAAATATATACATGTAAATATTTTCAAAATATATACTGTATGTGTGTGTATTTATATATACATTATACATATACACAGTACACATAGATATATTGTGTAAATAAAAACGTTTTTGAATGCGATTAATCGTTTGACAGCACTATAATTAACTAATGTGATCACACTTAATTTTAAGGTCCAAATCTTGCTATTAACAAACCATTAACTATGACTTTTGCCTCAATAAACTCCTAATTTGCTGCTTATTAATAAGTTTAGGTATTGGGTAGGATTAGGGATCTAGAATATGGTCATGCAGAATATGTGCTTTATAAGTACTAATAAACAGCCAATATGTTAATAACAGGCATGCTAATGAGCAACTAGTTACTAGTGAGAATTGGTCCCTATACTAAAGTGTTACCACTAATGTTAACAAACTGAACCTTATAGAGTGGGTCCAATCTCAGAGGTACCATCTAACAATACAATGACATGAATACAGCACTGGTGTTATAGCACAGGCCAGGTTTTAATGTTTGTGTCACTCTACATGTCTGTGTTAGTGGCGTTCCAGACCAGAATATGCGAGCAGTATTTTGGAGTTGTGCCATTTTTCCAGACCGGCTGTCAGCCTGTGTGCTACTTGGTGAATTAACAGAAAATTTGGTCCTAAACACAGTACTTGACATAAACTTGCTTATATAACTCTTACATGTGTGATATTGCTTAAATATCCTTGATCAGGCAGACATTTAAATTATTTTCACTGAAGCGAAACAGCATCAGACTCAGAAGACTAAATTCAAACTGAGCCCCGTTGTACTGAATCTGTCGCAGACAGACACACTTGCGCTCACGACTTTGTAGAGTGCCATCATTGATAGAGTGCCAAGCCTACAATCTCACCCTGCACTTTCCTGCCTCTTTTTTTCCTGTCTCTGTGTCTTTGTTATTTTCTTTCTCCATGTTTTTACCCTTCTTGGAGCCCAAAAAAGAAAAGCTGAAACAAAAAGATAGAGAAAATATGATGGCAGTGAGAAAAAGAGCGGCGAGAAAGCAGGAAAATGAGAGGCAAAGTTAACAGAAAAGGAATAAAAGGCACAGATTGGGGCCGCACCTGGATCCAGTTCTGTGTGTGGGAGTGTATGTGACAAAAAAACGTTCTTCTGCACACATCCAAAGGGACCCAGATGGACAGACGCATTTGAAATTCGATAGAGTGACATAAAGCAATAGAGGGGAAAATGTGCCAGTGAGCAAACACATGGGGGAGAGGAGCAAAGCGTATCTTCCTGGCTGTCAGAGAGATTAGTCGAAATGCATGACATTTACCGTGAAGACAGAGAGTCTGACAAAGAGACAAAGCAAATATGCACACATGTGAAGGATTTTTAAGAAAAGCTGACACTTTTGTGTTTGTATATGTGCTTATGTGTCTTTCATATTTGTAAGTGCATGTATAGTATATAATGTGGCTGCACTGAATGTGAAATTACAATAATTGTGACATTTAAATTAAACTCACCTGCGATTTCTCGGCGATCTCGGACCCAGCGCAGGGTGGCTGGTGGTTTGCTCCGCGGGGACACACATGTGAGTTCCACCTCTCCACCCTCCACTGCCTCTGTCTTCACCTCCACCGTAGGCACCTCTGGGGGCACCACCACCGACAGCGTCGCCACCTGGTGGTGTGTGTCATCGGTGTAGAGCTGGCAGAAGTAGCCACCCTCGTCAGATACACTTACATTAGTCAACGTGATCCGCACCAGGCGCGGCGTGAAAAGAACCATCTGAAAACGGTCGTCTTTCAGTGCTGGAAGAGAGGGAGAGAGAGTAGGGATAAGTAAGGATAAAGGAACCACAGGATACGCAAGTTAAAATTAAATTAAAATTGAGCCTGTTTGCTTTCTAAATGCATCCTTGTAGTCTTATTTTGAGCAATTTCAGTGGTGCATGTTATTGCAAAGAAGAAAATGTGCCTTTTTAATTTTTAATCAAAATGGAATGACTTTCTCCTTCTCTGAAATGACTTCCCTTTTCCGCTGACGTCCAAATAGGCATTTAGGCATTGTTTTAGCAGTCCTATTTCGAGTTTTGTTTCATTCTGGTTTATATCGCCTTCTTTTCACAATGATTAAAATCAAGTCAAGCCCATTACGTAAGTAAAATGGGTTGTGGTTGGCAATTCACACTAACTTGAAGTAACAAAATGGCTCTGTGAAAAGAAAAAGAGCCATACAAACGCTACTAACTTAACTACACTACCATTCAAAAGTTTTTTTAAAGAAATTAATACTGTTGTTCCAATGATGCAGCATTACATTTATCAAAAGTAACAGTAAGGCATGATATGTTTATATTAGAATGATTTCTGAAGGATCATGTGAGACTGAAGCCTGGAGAAATGGATGCTGAAAATTCAGCTTTGTCATCACAGGAATAAATTACATTTTAAAATATACTGAGACAGAAAATGGAAATTTTAACTGGTAATATTATTTCACATTATTACTGTTTTCATTGTATTTTTAATTCAATAAATGCAACCTTGGTGAGCATAAAAGTTTTTTTTTATAAACAATTTTGTGGCCGACTCCATGTTCATCCATGCCTAAATACTGCTGTCATTACTGTTTTCAATTGTTTAGTTGTCAGAAAAAAAAAGGTTTTGTAGATTCTGATTGTGTAAGATATAGGCCTATAAATGCCACTTTATCTTTCGAGTTTTGTAAGTAACTTGATAGTAAAATAAAATAGTATTACCTTTTAAGTAACAAAGCAGTTAGTGTATTGGCTTTTAGAGTTGCAAGCTACAATCAAAAGGGAATCTTGTAGCTTAACTACTTGCAAGTCATAGTTTCAATTAACTCCAACTCAAACAAGAAAAATCACACAATAAAGATCAAAAGAATGGAGCAACATAAAAAGGAGAAGATGAAAAGGAGAAGAAAACAACAGACGAGGGTTTTTAACTAGCATCTCTCACAGAACAGCTGACACAGAACAACACATAATACTGAGGTGAAGCAGAAAACAGAAGCATCGAGAACTAGTGTTGAAAATGATTTTCGCTTTGAAACCAAGGTGAGAGAATAATCAATTGTCAGAAAATAATAATAATAACAAATAATGATGCTGGTTACAAAGGCTGGATGGACCTTTTTGGGACAAGATTCACACAAACCGTTTTGTATTGAGTATTGACCTGCACTAAATACCCCTTTTCTCCCTACTTCCCTTTAATACTTTTTGTCTGTGGCCGACTCTGCTCTGGAGATGCGACCCTTTGCCATCAGCACAATCTCAGATAGCAGCACGCCACACTGGATCCATAAGATGATTACTGCTCTGAGGGACCCAGACATTTTTCAACACCTGGCTGCATTTATTTGTGTGTCATGTTGGAAACTGAATGAGTGAGCAAATGAGTGACTGAATGCGCAAACAAGTGAATGAACCAATTCATGTTTGAATGAATGAACAAGTGAGTGAATCAATCAATGATTCAGTGTTATATTAAGGGAATGATAGTGATACGTTGAGTAAAATGAATCAGTCAGTGAATGAGCAAGTGAATCAGTGAATGAGTTGTTTATTGATTTAATGAGTGATACATTGAACGAACGAGCGACTTCGTGAATGAATGAATGAGTGAGTGATTGTATGAACCAATGATTGAATCAATTAAATCAGTGTAACGATAAGTGAATCACTAAATAAATCAGTCTGTGAAAGAGCAACTGAATGAGTGAATGCGAATTATACATTGAGAAAAAGAGTGATACATTGAATAAACGTTGATTGAATCAATGATTCCGTATGTTACATTGAGTGAGTGATAGTGATACAATGAGTAAGTGAATTACTAAATAAATCAGTGAGCAAACAACTGAATGAGTGAAATTGTACACCAAAGTCAATGAAAGAATTGATACATTGAAGGAACAATGTAGTGAATTAATAAATAATTGAATCAGTGATTCAGTGTGTTACATTGAGTGAGTGATAGTGATATATGGAGTAAGTGAATCACTAAATAAATCAAGCAGGTAAGTGAATTACTGTTATATATCGGGTAAGTGAAAAAGTGATACATTTACTGAATGAATGATTGAATCAATGATTCTGTGTGTTACACTGAGTTAGCGATGGTGATACACTAAGTGAATCACTAAGTAAGTGAGTAAGGTAAGTGAGTTGGTGAATGAGAGATACAGTACAGTGAACAAATGAGCAAGATAGTGAATGGATGAATGAATTAATCAATCAGTCAATGAATCATTGAATCTGTTACACTGAGTGAGTGATAGTGATGCAAGTGAATCACTATATGAATCAATCAAGTGAGCGAGCAACTGAGTAAATGGGAGTTATACATTTAGTAAGTGAAACAGTGATACTTTGAATGAATGTGCAAGTTAGTGAATAAATGATTAAATGCATGAACAAATCAAAAGAGTCGGTGTGTTGCACTGAGCAAGTGGAATGATACATTGAGTATGTGAATTGATAAAATGAATAGTCAGTGACAAACAACTAAATGAAAGAGTTAGTTATATATTGAATAAGTGAAACAGTGATACTTTGAATTAATGAGCGAGTTAGTGAATAAATAAGTGATAAACTGAATAAGTGAGTAAGCTCTTTTTCATGACATGTATCTTCTCACTCGATACATGTTTCACGCGACAGGAGTAAAAGAGCCTCACTAAAGGAGATAAATTCCTTCGCTCATGCTAAATGGCAGGGAAATGTCAATGCATTGTCCAGGCCAGTGTCACCTTTAGTCACGCCTCATTTACATACCTCACAGATCTGGCCAATCTGAAGGAATCTCATGGAAAGGGCGCATGCTGATAGGCTATTGTATGCATGACTGCTGAGGGATATTTACGCCCTGCTGCCTGCTAAAAGACTGTTATCGGGATTCATTAGTTAGCAAGCAGAGGTTTTCATTTGCGTTTCTCTGTACATTTAGACCAGGGCACTCAAGCAGTAAGAGCAGCCTGGAGCTGTCATGAGAATCCACCGACATTAAAAGCCTAAAGATTGTTAGCAAAAGGTGTGTCTGAAAATAGTGGTGTGAATGGCTCAGAAGAGGGGTGATTTAGCTCCTACAAAATGGCCCAATTATGTGCACTTATAAAAGCAGAGATCACGGATACTAATTCAGCTTTTAGCTTTTGTGGTCCTTTCTGGTTCTACCAATTTCATTCTTTTTCTCCATTCCCTTTTTTCACTGAATTACATATGCTTTCTGTGTCCTTTGCTGAGGCAAGGGTTACAAAGGCAAGGATGAAAACACACTGCATATCATGTAAAACGAGGGTGACAGAGAGTCATCACTTAAAGGGATTTCAAATTTAAGCGATAGTGATGGCTGCGATGGAAAAAACAAAGGTTATTACATAAAAGGATCTTTAAAAAGAAATTGAAATAAGGTGTAATCAGTTAAAAAGGATTTCAGAAAGACTGATGGCGCCAGTTTAAATATATTCCAAAGATGATAAAAGCTAACCAGCATGAAAAGAGACTGCTCCACTGCTAGCACGGACACGGAGGTTGTGTTTAACATATTTACCACTTACCAGTGCTACAAGAGAACCATTAATGGATATGGAATGTGTCTGATGAACTCAATGTCAAAGAGGGATTGCTCAATAAATTAATTCTAGTACTTTTGCTTAAAAAACCCAGCAGCTGCAATGTAATAAAAAATGGGGAAAAACTTTAATAAGATCATTGTCAAACTTTAAATGATGCTTTGTAGACGCTACACTCTCAGAAAAAAGGCTGTCACTGGGATGGTAGCTTTTCAAAAGGTACTAATATGTACACTTCAGGTATTAATATGCACCTTAAAGGTACTAAAATGCACACTTCAGGAGTAAATAAGGTACTAAGGTATACCATCCCAGTGATAGCTTTTGAAACTTTTCTTTCTGAGAGTGTATAAAGGTTTGTTGCTTTATTAATTATGATATTAAGTTTAAAATGAGAAAATTATGTCACATTATGAGATATATATAATGTCACATTGTGAGACAGTTATAGTTTCTAAAAAAAAAATGTCAACACTGTGACATGCATTGCATTTTGAGAAAAAGTCACTTTGTGAAATATTTAACCTTTATTTAACCAGGCAAGTTAATTAAGAACAAGTGGCAATAAAAAGGGATTCAATTACAGAAAAGTCAATTTCACAAGACATACAAAAAACAAAGTTGCAATTACAAGATATAAAGCCATATTGTGAGATATAAATTTGCAACTCTCAGTAAGTTACCATTTTAATTATAAGAATTAAAGTCTATATAGCAAAATGAAGTCAGTTATGAGAAGTAGTCATATTGGAGCATATAAAGTCAAATCAAAATGTAAAAATAAATCTAAATAAACCAAAATAAAACATTTGTATTTTAAATAAAATATTTAATCTACACTGCAAAAAAATGAATGTAATTTTAACAGTAAAATATTGTAAAAATGTAAAAAAAAAAAAAAAAAAAAAAGAAGTTAATATGTTAACAGTAAGTTCCTTTACTATATACAGGGAAAAGTGTAAAAGATCTAACCAGACATTTAATGTTTTTTTTTACAGTAAAATGCTATTAATTGTACAGAAATTTAGAAGTAAAGAGTTTTTAGAAGTAAAAAGAACAAATCCATGTATAATTTACAGTCAAAAACTGTAAACTGGTATTTACAGAATTATTGAGTCACACTCCACATTTGAAAGTATTAAAGGTACAAAACAGATTTTAGTAGCAGTGTGCATTGTAGAATTTACTGGTTTACATTCAAATTTTCTTGTTTGTAAATTACAGTTTTATACAGGAAATTTTTTAGTTTTTCTGAATTATTTTACAAAATTATTCTGGCAACCACAGCTGCCAAAATTACTTTGTAAAAACTACAGATTTTTTTTTTTTTTACAGTCTAACTATAAGATTAATGATCCGTTAAGCATTGTATAATGCAATACAATTTTATACTAAGTTTAATTTAAGAAAATCTTACTGTGAAATATAACAACACAATTGCAAGTAGTCAAAATTGTGATGTATAAAGTGACAAACTCACAATCACAAGATTGTGAGATACAAAGTTGCAATTCTGAGAATTAAGTGTCTTTTGTATGAAACGTATAGTCGCAATTATGAGAAATAAAGTTGTAATTTTGAAACAAAGTTGCAATAAAATCTCAATTGTCAGATGTAAAGTTGTTTTTTAGTTTTACTGTTGTTTACAGTATGTTGCTAAAATAAAATAAAATATCCCACTAATTGTTCCTGTGTAAGTCTTCTAGATAACCTAAAGTAATGTGAGCGAGCATATTAAAATAATTATGCCAAAACAACTTTCTTCGAACATTTAAAGTGATGTTCTTTTTATGGGCTTTTAAAAAGATCCGCTAACGACTGCCAGTGAAGTGGTCACCTCGTGTTCCATTGAAGAATAGCGTTTGTCTGCGTGGGTTCTGGATGACCACGATCGAGCCATCGTAGTTCTGGAGACGACAGGAGATCTGTGCCGTCCCCCCCTCCAGCACGGTCACGTTCTCAGCCTGCACAGCCTGCCCCCGCGCTGAAACACAGAGGGGTGACAGAGTTGACGCACAACTCTCATTTGCTTAAAAAAAGGAATCATTTATAAATGTATTTTTGATGGACAGAAGGAGACAAGATGGCACACGGAGCAATATTGAAGATAGAAATACCTCCGTGACCAATTAACACCTCGCTCACGTAACTACCTTTGTGCTTAGAAGTGTGAACTATGCAGAAGAGGAGAGACAGAGCGAGTGAAAAAAGGAAAATAATGAGAGACTGACAGATAGACAGAGACTAGAAAGAAAGGGTCCTAATTAAGTGCTGGTAAGACCAATAGCATCGTTATCTTTATCCATTACTGTGGGCTGACACACATCTGCTCGCTCTGACATCCACCTCGTGAAAGTGCCGGTAATGACGGCTCTTTTTCGGGAATGAACTCGGATCAGTCATACGCAGGGAACACAGAACATCTAATGGCACTTTCACTGCTAAATCTAGTTGAAGGTAACATCTACTGCATGTTCTGGGCGACGCTCATGTATTGTTGATGTTTATTTTAGCAGGATATAGAGGAGCTGAACACGAGGTCGTCACTGCTGGCCCATGCAAGCATGCTGCTGGAACCTTCAGCACATCATTATCCGTGGTCTTCGTGGAGAGCCTGTCTCTGGTGGACTGTACTGATTCGCAATCCTGACACCAAGGCACCGCGTTCTTCAGCAGAACAGACTAGATCTGATGACATCACAACAGATCACTAGGGTAAAACTGTCACATTTGCTGATTCGCTGAGACCTGTCTCCTCCATTGCTCCACTCACCTAGCTAGGACAAGATGTCTGACATGCTCAGACTGACATGTTACAGACATGCTGTATGACAGGAAGTCTGTATATAGCTTGAGCTTGGAACAGTTGATGGAGTATTGTGTAGGTGAGTTATTTCACACTATAACATAATAATAATGTGGAGAATGTGAAGAGTGTTTCGTCATCTATAGGCACTTATGGTCCAAGGGCTGATTTTTATTATAAGTTTTTGTTATAGTTAAAGGCACAATATGTATGATTTTTTTTATTAAAATATCCAAAAACCACTAGAACAGTGTTATATATTTTGCTGACTTGTGTACTTACATTATCCCAAATGTTTCGAAGAATGTTCAAATCCAGAGAAATAAGCAATTTTAACTAGTGACACGGACCGTGTTTAGAGTGTCATTCTGTCGCCTGCTAATGACGTCATAACCCCTCGATTTCTTTTGTTTTGTAGAAAACATGGAAACACCAAAGACGCTTTAATATGCTATGCATTTTAATAGACCAGTGATGACCGCACAGAGTAGCATTATAACAGAACGTTCAAACGTATCTAGCATGATAAAACAGTGCTGATTTTTTTTCCCACATATGCACGACCAGAAGAAGCGGGAGCGCTAACGGAAGTGTGGCATAATAAAAGCTCCGCTGCTTTCGAGCCGTGTGTCACGCTCGTTCAGCAGCCTCGTTTCGCTTCGACAGCTTTCAGCCTCACCCTGCTTCATTCTACTACGTTAATAAATCATTAGCTCATCCATGAACATGATTTCTGCCTGAGTCCCGTCGGATTGCGTCGGCTGTGGGGATGAAGACGACAACTCCCATGATTCCCCACCCAGTCATCAAACTACACCTTTGTCTATTTGTTTATTTTGAATATGCGCCCTCTAGCGGCGAAAATTACATATTGTGCCTTTAAAAGACTGCTAAGTTATAGTTTTTTCGTCTTCTTGTTATATAAAGATCACATTAAAACTGCCTTAAACTTTTCCTCACAAATTTCTAATTTGTTTCTGTATTTATTTTATTTTTTCCAGATCTAAACTGTCTTGGAAACTTTTCCTCACTAATTTCTAATTTATTTATGCATTTATTTTATTTTGCTACTTTTCAAAAGCCTTTTATGTACAGTATAGATGTTTATTATTTTATAGACTATGAAAATTCATCCAAAATTATTTACATTTATTCTAATATCAGTTTAATTATCATAAGCTAAAAAAGTGAAATAATCATAAATCATTTCAATATTTATGTGAGAATATTTTTACACAAATTACAACTGTTTGCCACTACTAAAGTTTTGCACTGGTTTACCACTTTTTTTATATGAAGGTCATATTAAAACTGTCTTGGAAACTTTTTTCCATGAATTCATAATTTATTTTTGCATTTATTTTATTTTGCTACTTTTCAAAAGTCTTCTATGTATAGATTTTATTGTTTACCTTAAGCCCAAACCGGAATATGAAAATCCATAATAAAAATATTAATTGAACTTGTTTGAATATTATTCATAACATAAGATAAAAAGTTAAATAACTGTAAATCGTTTCAATATTTATTATGAGAAGATATCAATTTATATTCAAATTACAACTGTTCCATTAGTGCCATTTAAACCTTAAGCAATAATGATGTACTTGTTTATCAAGGAAAAAAACAAAACATGAAGAAAAAAAGTTAAATATCAAATATGAACAATAGCTTAAATGCATCATTTGAGATGTGTGGAAATGACAGTGTGGTGAAAACTCATGACTTTTCATGACTTTCTTCTGCAATGCATGTTTATCCATTATTGCACCATTGGTAGTGTACAAATAACACAACTAGTGAAACTTTTTTCATTTCCTAGTTAAAAGTTGAAGTGAAGATGTCCTCCAAACATTTCATGAGGACATCTTGGTTATAGACCAGAGGCAAAACATCTCTTAGAGGAACAATTAGGATTATTATGGCGTTTTTGCTGAAAAGCGACAAAAGAGAAAGTTCAGGAGGGAAATAAAGGAGAGTCTATAAAGGCGCTAGTCGGCATCCTCCGTCACCCGCTGGCCCGCTCGTCTGGCTTCATTTAAATTTAATCCTGTCAGGCTCTATCCATCTCAGAGTACCCTTGTCTTAAATTCAGCGTGGAGGGAGAGCGGGTTAATAAAACATTGACAGGTGAGGTATTGAGCTGAAATCAAGAGGCGAGAACAGAGAAGAAAATGAGAGACAGTGACTGAGGACGTCCTGAAATTTTGCACAATTGCCATTGTAATTGTAGCCATTATTATTTCTGTCCTCCGCATCAATATTGTGATCCATATCACGACAATCGGCACCGCCATTGCTATCCCAATTATTATTCTAATGACTGTTATTACTCAGCACTCGGGCATCCGCAGACTTGGCCGCCATTGTTTTAATGGCTCATAATTGTTCCAACAGCACTATACATCAAGAGAAGGTCTGTGAATACATGGGAGGCAATTAAAAACGTAATTCAAACCTAACAGAACTCAAACAAGTGTGGCCAAATTCCCAACAAAAGTAGCTAAATGTGTTTGATTGAGAAGTCAAACAAAACACGGCTAATTGAGCATCCGTTAAATGCACTCTGCCGCATGCCAGCTGTCTCCTCTTCATGTAAATGACCGAAATCAAGGGACGCGAACGGGAAAACAAATGGCACGGAGGGAGGGGAGCATGCCGTGATGCCAATACGACATTCGAGAAACTCGCCAACTCGCTGACGGGGGTGGAAAGACACCGAGCGAGATGTAGAGGGAGGCACGGGGCAGGAGAAAAACAGCTGGGGTTTGAGACGCATTCGCAGCTGCCAGGAAAATAGCGGAGGGGCCAGCCGAGTCTGCTACAACTTGCATTATAGTTGTTTGCGGTCGTATCTGCATCGTGGGCACGGGAGTTTATGAGCACCTACGGCAGGGCGAAAACAACAAGAAACCGCGGATGGGTTCATCTTGACCCTATTAGAATCAAACCATAATAAAATATACAACATGCTCACAATTGTATTAGGTGTTAAAGTGAAGAGATCGATAACAGGCTGGCGTACTGATGCTAGGAGAAGCAAATAAATAAAGTAGGCTGGCGGGGTGGTGGTGGTGGTGGGATGTGGAGGAGAACTTCATAATTTGGCCAGATGAGGGCGATGTATCAATACACACAAACCGTACAAATCCTTATCCTGAAGAAAGATAGGTAGAATGAGCAAATAAATAAACAATGAGTTATTGAATAAATAATGACTTTAAATGTAAATAATATAAATATGAAATATAAATGATACAGTTATATAAATCATAGATAAATATAAATAATAGAGACTATATAGAGTAAGTAAATAAATTAATAAATCATGGTAGTTCAACAGTAGAGTAAGATGGGGAAAGTTTACATGCTTGACCATAAACTGAAAAATCAATATTGACTTTTTATCTGAACATCAACATTTGTGAGGTTTATTCCATCTGAAAAGTTTTTGGGTTGAAATGCAATTGTGTTTCTCGTTGGATAATAGTAAACTGTGAATTTATTTTATTTTGGATATTAAATATTTTAATAGGTATATTTGTTAACAGAATACATGTGGGCAGTTATTGATTTAGATTTGTACAGTAACAAACTTGTTTTGTTTTTTTTATAAAAACAAGTTACAGATAGACCCCTTCTTAAAGGAACAGTTCACCCAAAAACCAAACCTGCATGACTTATACTTTCTTCTGCAGAACACACACACATATTATAAACATTTGAACTGTTTTTGTCCATTCATTGAAAGTCAATGGGATCCAAAACAACAGCTTTGAACCCCAATAACTTACAACATGAGGGTGAGTACAATATGACAAAATCTTCAGTTTGTGATGAACTGTTCCTTTAAGGTAGGGCATCTTTCCCTCTCTTTCCCTACTAAGAAAGCAGCCATGAATTATGGAGGTGAGTTCAATTTAGTGACTTGGTAGAAGGCCAGATACAGAGCAGGCGTATGAGCAACCACCCTGCTTGAGATTAACTAGCTGAATTACAGCGTACAGTGGAACCACCAGATGCCCTCACACACAGAACGTAGTCATACACACACACACACACACACATTTAACTCTCAAATGAATGAGCAGACAACCAGGCAGATAAGGACATCCTAAGAGATCCACGTCAAAGTTTAACAGTACTAGAGCTGTTGAGACATTAAGACATCCTTTGAT